TGTTTTCACACTTAACTGCATTTTGTTTTCAAAATTTTTTGTAATTACTCCATTCAACATCTTGAATGTAATGTGCATGTAAAATAGCACTTCAGATCCATCTTCTGTATGTGAACAAGTCAATGCCAATAATGCCTTTTGTTTATATCAGAACTCGTCATCTGGGTATATATATATATATATATACCTATGGCAGCCAAAGGGGGAAATAAATGCTATTTGTTTACATTACAAGAAACATATTGCGGTGATGTAAAATTCCTAATACATTTCTTATACTACATACAAATTTATTTTTGTATTATGCATTAACCAATTGCCTTTTAGCATTACATGCAAATTTAGCATGATTGCAAATTCGTGTGTAATAAAGATTATAATAAATATTAGATTGGGGTTTATTAATATAATTTGCAAGCTGTTTGTGCATTTGCAGAGACAAATATTTATTCAGAATTTGTCAAGTGTTGTATTGTATCTCATCTATATTGTAGAATAACTGTCCGTTACGTTTATCAGATATTTATGTTATTAAATATCTTGACAATTTATAGAGATTCCAGCTAGTGTTTGTTTGTTACGGATTTCGCGCAAAGCTACACGAGGGCTATCTGCACTAGCCGTCCCTAATTTAGCAGTGTAAGACTAGAGGAAAGGCAGCTAGTCATCACCACCCACAGCCAACTCTTGGACTACTCTTTTAACAATGAATAGTGGGATTAACTGTCACATTATATTGCCCCCACGGCTGAAAGAGCGAGCATGTTTGTGATGGGGATTCGAACCCGCAACCCACAGATTGCGAGTCGAGCACCTTAACCATCTGGCCATGCCGGGCCTCCAGCTAGTGAAAGAGTAATTATTTTACATTCTAAACAGTGAATGATGCAAATTATTGTGACTTTGGATTTCTAGTAATATGATGAAGTGGTACCACTAGGATGGAGACTATTCTTTAGTGACCACACTTTCTGAAATTTTGTTACTAATGCATGAATAATTTATATAGCTAAACACAAGAAAAGGAATACAGTTACCTGAAATGGTTTTAATAATATATAACCAAACACACATAACACACTTATCCAAGATTATAACTTGTCCCAACCTCTTTTACAACTGCTGTACATATGAATTTATGTCTGCTAACTGTATGTAATTGCAGTTCAATCAATGGATCTTTCAAATATTTCCAAAGAATAACATTACATATTTGTGAAAAATATAAGTATACTTGGAGGTAATACAATTTATATAGAAAATACAACTGTACCAGTAGTTAAGAAAACTGTTTCTGTTAGGGTAATATTATGAACTGATTGGAACTAGGAAATTCAGTCTGCAGTCACTTATGCAACACTTACTAAAAACATGATGACATGTCCTTGCTAATCTCACTTTCCCCAACAGACTACAATACTAGTTAGTTTCTAGTTCCAAGTTGATGTCCATGCAAAGTATCAACTCCACATGCAAGGTTTGCAGCTGATAAATGATTATGTTGTATTCTTCCAACTAAAGTCTTCAGTGAAGCCAAAATCCATACATTCCTGTGAAAGTTTCATTCTCTCGCTTCAATGTTTTGTACTGATATATATCATACTTGCTGACAAACGTATGCTCCATTTCAGTAGAATAAATCAAGAAAGAGGCATTTACAATTTTCCCATTAACTTTCACCACTGTCACTTGAATGTATGATATTGATATATCAAAATTCCTGAAGAATGTATGCTCCACTCCAGTAAAATAAACCAAAAATTAAACATTTACAATTTTACCACTACTTTTACTTGTTTGTATGGTATCGATATTTCAAAATTCCTTAAGAATGTATGCTCCACTCCAGTAAAATAAACAAAAATTAAAAATATACAGTTTTGCCATTAGTTTTTACTTATTTGTATGGTATCGATGTTTCAAAATTCCTTAAGAATGTATGCTCCACTCCAGTAAAATAAACCAAAAATTAAACATTTACAATTTTACCATTAGTTTTTACTACTTTTACTTATTTGTATGGTATCAATAGTTCAAAATTCCTGAAGAATGTATGCTCCGTTCCAGTAAAATGAACCATTTTCATATACCATAGTCTTTATTCACACTAATGAACACAGCCAAACCTTTATAGCCATGTCCTAACAAAAAAAAATAACTTCCTTTCTGCCTTTTTTTTTCCACTTTCATCCTTTTATATTCATTTTCCATTTCTCACACATGCATGTTGCCATTTGGACTAAGATGGCTGCAATGCAAGCAATTAAAATCTAATCTTCATTTAAGAAACTTCATCTGTATAAAAATATCATAAATAGTTTTCATTAATTATTATCTATTTTCCTTAAAAAAATAACTGCACTAACCTAAAAAACAACATATGCCTGAAACATCAAATTAAGTAATCTTGTGACATACTGATACCTTACATAATATTTTAAATTTTACAGAAACAACTAGCTAAATTTACATCTATGCATCTTCTGTGTATATGTGTTTATATCATTTTGTGAGTTAAGCACAACCCTACACAATGGGCTGTCTGTACTGTTCTACTACAGGTATTGAAACCTGGTTTTTAGCATTATAAATCTTGAGACTTATTGTTATGCCACTGGGGGGTAGTAAAATTTAACCAAAATTTCTTTTCAAAATTAAAAACTCTTATTTTCAAACATTAAGTTAAGGAACCAAAAACTTTTGTTTAGATGTTCTCTTTATACATAAAAATAAAGTGACATGCTCATAAAACGTATCTTAATTTATGTGATCTTTACTTTAATTCTTTTATTTGAATAGATGACATCACTTGGAATGATTGTCTAGAGAAACAGGCACTAATTATTAATCAACCTGGAAAACTGCTGTGCATTGTTTCGGCCAATCCTTCTCCTCAAGTTTCCTGGGTAAAGCTAGAGGGCACTAAGGATATTGAGTTGGATAAAACCCGCTTTACAGTTGAGTCAGATGGAATTTTTATGTCTAAGGTGCACGAAAAAGATGGTGGAAAGTATCGTATCCAAGCTATGGTTACAGAAACTGGGAGATTCAAACATCGAGACATTAACTTGGAAGTTCTTAGTGAGTGAATTTTCCAGTAAATTGCTGGATACTTTAATTCATAATACACTTTAAATTCAAGCTTAATTTTAAGGCCGAGATTAATTTTTATAATGCTTTTTCTCTCTTATGAAATCTTTATAGTTCTTTTCTATCATGTGTGCCAACTTAAACATTCCCCCTTTTTTTTTCTAAAGTAACTTTTAATTGTAACTTTGGATCCCCAGATTAGTCTATTTGTAGATTCATTTAGTGGCAACCAGTGTGCCATATTTTCTGAATGGTTTGATTTTATTCCACAGGAATGCTTGTTTCAAACCAACTGCTTGTTTATCACCCCTTTAGTAAGAAGGACCTGCTACACATATGTTTATTTAGATATGTTCAGGTAAATTTTCATGCAGGTGTTCTGCATATAGTTAGTTGGCATCTTGGGTAAAATAAGTTGTATACTTGTGCTGTGGTATCTCATGAATTATCAGCAGAGCATAGAAGTTAGACATGCTGACAACAGGAGGTTCTGGGATCTTGGGCTTTGAGACGTAGTTACCTTCGAGTTGCAACTGTTAAGTCAAGAAAAAATAGACAAGACACAAGTTCACAAAAGTAACAAATGTTTAATTACACACTCACCATTTACAAAATTATAAACGATACACTATAAATAATGCAAACAATACAATAAAAAATAGGTAAGGTGGTCTGTGTGTGTAAGTGTAGAACTGACAAGAGCTGGTGAAGATGAATAAGAGATAAGCCTATGTTCCACACTAGTTACCTTATTTAATTAGAAGGAAGTTTGCAGATCAAGGGAATAATCACTTCAGCTATTATCTGATTCACCATCAAGAATAATTCAACTTGTTAATTAAGTGCTGTATTAACTTTTCCTGTAAGAAAACCAAATATGTAAGCTTAGGCATTTGCTTAAAACTTTGCTTGCCACTTAGAGAAGGCTAAGATTAGTAACTCACTTCAGCACCTCACTGCATCCAAAAATGAAACTATGAAAAACAACATAATTCTAAACGCTTTACTTTTTTTAAGTTAAGGGGTGGGAAACAGATAGTAGGTTCTTGTACTAAAGTGCTAATTCTCAAGCATGAACAGAGGGTAGCTACCACAACTGTTTTTCAATACTTGCCTGACCCTGTTTCAACATCATGCCTATGTAGAGATGAGGTGGTAGTCATTTCAAGGAGTGGCATAGGGACTTGTGCTAGTTAGTATGTATTAGAGATTTATCTTCTTTGGAAAAGTATAATGGGGATGAGTAATAATATAGATACTTGGAGATTGTTGAAAGTTGCACATTCGAATTTTTGTCTAATTCGAATGTGTGTGGTATCGTTATTATTCTTGTGATAAAAACATTGTTTAGTTATTTAAAAAGGTAAACGTTTTGGGATCCTACAGAATTTGCATCAATCCTTGGACATCACTAAAATTACATTGTTAAATTTAATGACAATGAAACCAAAACAGAAAATGCAGGGAAAGTGAACTTCTATTGCATTGAAAATGTTTTCCCTATACCTTCAAAGATCTGGTGTAGTTTATGAATTTAAATGCAGCTGGTAAGAATAATGCAAAGGTACACTTCTTTAGAGTGTAGAATAATTAAGGCACTACTCAGAGTTCAAGTTCATTGAAGTTTCTCATAATTTATAAACTTTTGAAACTGAGAACTTAATGTGTGATTATATTTTTATGTTACAGTTCCTCCTAACATCACAGAGTTTCAGGAGAAAGCTCAAGCAATCGAGGAGAATGACTTGGTTCTCAAGTGTGTGGCTAGTATTGCTAACCCTACTCCTTTGTATTCTTGGTTTGATAAGGTGAGATAGTGAAACTACGTTATTTTACTTGTTACCCAGTTTAAGTATAGTTTATAGGGTAAATTCCAATACATTACAGTATGGTGAGAATTCTATTATTTAGTCCATTTACAATCATCATTTGATGAGTTAAGCCTAATTGATTATGATTGATGATGTTTGATTAATTATACACATTATCGACTTGACCAATAAATAGTTTTATTGTAACTGTTATAATGAATAACATTATTCAGTATGTCTTCTGTTTCCTTATTTATGTGCATTGTTTTTCATGGTTGCTGTATTGAAGTTAATTATTTTGTTTGAATATATTTCATGTACTGTTTTCTATACTTGTTTAATTGAAAGTGAATCTGTGTGTGTAGGGTGGTGATGTTTGATTTATTTTTCTGGAAAACATGGTTTGTCATTTGGTACATATTTTGACAAGTAGAGCAGTGATTGTTTTAAATGTTACTTTTATGATAGAAATTTCTTACCATTATAGAATGATCATCAACTTCAAACTCAAGAAAGATTTTCAGTTGATAAAACTTTGGGAACTCTTACAATACAAAATGTTAAGAAAGAAGATGCAGGCGATTACTCTTGCGTAGCTCAGAATGAAGCTGGACAAGATAAAAAACAGCTGCAGCTAACAGTTCTGTGTGAGTTCCAGTTTCTGTTAAAAGTTAAACAAAATACCCATTGTCCATACTAATCATATCCTCTCTGAAATTTTGAAAAAAGCTTTACATATATGATATATCAAACGACGTAAAATAGTGTATCGACAAAATATGAAATTTACGTTTGCAATATACAGTGATTAAAATTTCTTCATATGTAACCTTTGAGAGTACCTATGTCTTATAATTTACTTATATGTGTTTACTTTTTTACCATAACAACTTTGGGTAAAGTGCTTATGCAAATACTTCTAACTTAAAATGTTTTTGTTGCTCATTTATTTTAAAACTTCATATAGTAGATTAACTTTGGAAAATACCTGCAGACCTTTATGTTTCATTGCACGTATCTATTTAACTATAGTTTGGCCTTAAGGGATACTGTTTAATATAAACTTAAACAAACCAGGAGACCTGAGTGGGATGAATGTCTTCAAGAACATTTTAAGAAATGTAGCTTCGTTGTTTTAAGTTTCATGAAACTTGTATTTGTTTTTATGGTGTACTTTATCCAGTCAACATTAAGATCTTTGAATTCTGTTTTGTTGTTAATTTAATTGTGTTTATTAAGAATAACAACACTTATACCCTGTCAGGTCGAGTGACAATAGTACTTTCATTATTTGCTACTTCTTTAAAGATGGTTTATTCTTCTGAGTAATGGTAGAACTGGTTTTATGGTAGTTGTAATTACAGAATGAAGGCAACGTAGTATTTCCAAACTTGGTTTTATTAAATTCTTTAAGTTGTTAGAACAGTTGCAGTTGAAAATAGGTTGAAATTTTAAAGTTTTATAAGTGCTATTATAGGTAATGTAAGAGATTTTAAGTTCTTAAAGCTTATACAAAACTTTGGTGAGGTAATAATGAATACTGTAATAATATTTTATCTTATAAATAAATTTTGTGAAAGTTAGGATTTTTTGCATTATTTATCATAGCATCCACTCCCACACTTTTTTAAGTTCATAACGTGGACAAAGGACAGGTACCTCAGCTTGTGTACTATATGAGAGAAAGAAAAGTATTAACTGTGTGCTACACATATAGATTTTTTTGAAATGAACTAAGTTTTTAACTTAAAAAAAGTTGTCAGGGACAATAAGTTCATTAAAAGTTAAAAAATTCCTCAATATTTTATGTTACATATTAATTTTAATGTGCTATAAATGAATGCTTCATTTAGTGAGCTTCAAAAAAAGTGTTTTAGAAACATGTTACTTTCTAAATAGTACATTGCAAACAGAAAAGGTTGCATATGTGGGACAGGAACTGTTTGGTTACAATGTTTTTTTCTTATTACAGCCAAACCAAAAATTCTGCAGTTTGAAAAAAAGAACACTGTTGAAGGAAAGTCAGCTTCTTTAGAGTGTCGTGCTTCTGGTGTCCCACATCCAGAAGTGTCCTTACGTAAAGAAGGATCACACAAGCAACTTGAATCTGTGAGTTTGGAACATAGTACTTGGATTCAAGTTATTTTATTATTTTCCCTTTGACTAAATAAATTTATGGAGAGTAAGCCAGTTTGGTTAATTACACTTTATAAGAATTTAATGTTAATGACGTGACATGTCACTCTAGATGAAAGCCGTGGCGCCACAGGTGGCATACCTTATTTGGTTCATAGTAAATTTTAAACCATTTGATTGTACAGTGTCTCAATGGTAGACTTATGGCTTTAATATGCATCATTCCAAAGAAGGTTATTCAAAACAGTTAAGTGATATAGAACCAAAGGCACAACATTTGAAAGAAGGAAGTATTTGGTATTTTATGCAGAAGAAGAAACACTCTCACAGCAGAGTAGATGGGATAACAATTGCCTCCAGAACCACACCTCAGATCAATCCAGAGCAATACTCTCAGCCTCAAAGTGAAGATTGGATACATGAATGAGAGTTCTCAAACTCAAAAAATCATTCCCATAAAGCTAGGCACATCTCTTGACACCTTCATCAAGATAAAACAATAATGATTTAAGTTGACCAAGACTCACCAGCCACACCTTGAAATCAATGACTGTTTTCATAACAAATATGACTGAATAAACTGAAGCTCCCCAGTGGCACAGCGGTATGTCTGCAGACTTACAACATTAGAATCCGGGTTTCGATACCCGTGGTTGGCAGAGCACAGAGAGCCCAATTACAAACAAACAAACGGAAACTGAAATTACACCTGTTGCATTTAACTACATACCTGTCAAGTCCCTTTGATGTTTTGGTCCACTTAAATGTGTTCATGGAAACCAATATCCACTATAAAGGACAGGAAAAACAATCTAAGACCACACATCTTGACAATGTTGTAGAATGGCTATCATGTTATGTATGACTGGTGCTGCAGGGAGTAGTACAAAAGGCATTATAAACCTAGAAGTTAATGCTTATAAAGTGCAATTAGCCCTTAGTAAAACCTTGTAAAAATTAATGGTTAGGAAAGGTTTAATTTATTTTTTTGAACTTATTTTGATTTGATTTTAATTTCCTGATTGAAAGTTCTTTTTTTATGTGACCAATATTGTTATGCAATAAGGCTTTGAAATGTTTTGAAGAATGGTCCAGTAGTAAAATATAATAACTTACCTTTTGAAAGGTATATATGAATTACCAGTGAAAGTTAAATACTTCCTTTAGTTTTTGTTTTAAATCAGGTAAACGTAACTCTGAAATACTAAAATCTTTTCCTTTTTGAATTTGCTCTCTTGCTGTCAACAGTTATATGGCTTAGGGTTCTGAATGGCTTTGACACAGTGCACAGCATTCATCAAATTACTCAGAGTTCTTCATTCTCCCACCTCCTGTGTAACTTATTTTGAATGAATGTATCAGGAGAACATACATGGTCTAATAGTTATCTCAGTAGTTACAGAGGTTTATCAGTAATATTTGTTTTAACCTAGTTTTCTATTAAGTTATTATTCAAAACCTCAACTAAAAGAGTCGTAAAATAAATATTCATTTGTTAGGGAGGAAGAGTGATTATAGAGAACTTTCAAGAGAAGGAGATTGTGAGCTTGAAAATGACCATCAGCCAAGTTATGAGAGAAGATGATGGTCAATACTTTTGTCGAGCAGAAAACATAGCTGGTAATATGGAAAAAGCTGGACATCTAACAGTTGAATGTAAGAAATCATCAGTCATCAGTTTTTGAATGTATCGTACCTTTACTGGGGTTAACTGGGCACTTCCTGATTGTTCCTTGCATTAGTTTCTATCTGTTCAAATCAGCTTAGATGTTACGAGTAATGGTAGTAACACTATTAGCTTTCATTAATATTATAACATGTAATAAGTAAAATAATAAATACATGTTAATTACACACACACACAGACAGACATGTATCGTGCATATTATTATTTTTAACATTTTGACCTCCACACTTATGGTTATATATGTTTAGGAAAATCTTTCATCATGCGTATAAGGTCCTAGGTTATTTGATCATTAGTGTTGCTAATACATTATTATGTTTCTCTTGAGAAATATTACAAAATAATTCTTATGAAAATGATATAGTTTATATATTAAGATGATTGGATGAGCTGAAACCTGCAAATATATGGAGAAAAAGCACAGAAAGAGATGAATGGAAATTTTGAGAAGGCTTATAAGATTCTAACTTTTGTATTGTAGATTCATAATATCTATGTATGTTTCTATACAACAGTTATGGTTAAAACTGTACTCAAATTCAACGCTTGTGTTATGTCTTACTAAGATTTTTACTGTAAAAATCAGTCAAGGATATTCACTTGTTTTTTTTTCTATAGATCTTGGTGCTTGGGGAAAATTTATAGTTAATTATAATGCAATTCTCAACTTTAAATGTTTTACTTTTAGGGTTCAGTTGATTATACAATCTGTCTAAAGTTTTATCATTATGCATTAACAGTTAAGCCACGAGTGAGTACTCCTAAGTCAAAGTTCATGAAAACATGGAGTGAAAACTCGGTCAATCTAACCTGCATTGCCGATGCCATTCCAAATGCAACTGTCCAGTGGTCTTTTAATGGTCAAGAGATTAAGTCTGACCAGAGTGAAACTTACACTATTTATGGGAAAGGAGGATACAGTAACTTGCTTGTAAGTGTTAATGTTTCTTGTTTATATGTCTTAAAAAATTAAGTTCCTTCAACAAACACTTTAGAATAATCAGTCTTGCAGTAAGCTAATAATATATCAATGTTTATAACAGCAACTCAAATTCAGATTGAAGTTCCAAAACCTTATTTTTTTAACTAAACAAATTTGCTATACATTAACTCTTTAAACCCATAATATTTTGTATGTTCTGCTGGAATTATTTTCATGATATCCTAATAATTATTACCATACCTTATAAAATTTCTGGTCTATTTATAAAAGGTGGATAATAACATGGTTTGGATTAGTTTTCAGCCAAAGTGACATAACTGTTATCAGATGCTGTCACCGTCCAATGGATAAATTAGGATTTTTTGGCCAGATGCTAGCAGCATCCACTCGGGTTTAGGAGTTAAATGAACTTACAAATGAATTGTCCTCCATTAAAAATGTTTTTATTTGGAATAGGTTTTTAGAGCTTAAATTCTCAAAGGAGCTGAACAAACTTGTATGCTAAAACAGTAATTAGTTTTACTCTAAATCTCCAGTATTCCTAAAAAAAGGGTCATTACTTAATCTGTGAAATTAATTTTTAATCTAGATATACAATTGAATTTACTTGTGAAGCAACTAAGTGGTTGAACAATTTTGTAAATATTTATTTACAACTTTTTCAATATTTAACTGGCATTTGGTGTTTATTGGCGCAAAGCAAAACTGCTTGAAAAGGTTACTAAACAGTCAAAATAAGATAAACATACTTTTTTTCCTGTTAGAATTACTCAAAAATGTTAGAGTGTAAAAGCTAGCCTGTTCATTCAGGGCCCGGCATGGCCAGGTGGTTAAGGTGCTCGACTCACAATCTGAGAGTCGCAGGTTCGAATCCCCATCACACTAAACATGCTCGCCCTTTCAGCCTTGGGGGCATTATAATGTGACGGTCAATCCCACTATTCGTTGGTAAAAAAGTAGCCCAAGAGTTGGCAGTGGGTGGTGATGACTAGCTGCCTTCCCTCTAATCTTACACTGCTAAATTATGGACGGCTAGCGCAGATAGCCCTCGCATAACTTTGCACGAATTTAAAAACAAACAGTAATTATCAATAAATATTGGAAAGGCTGTTAAAGTGCCCTATTACATATATTATGACCTTTTATCGTAATTAGTC